AAGCCCAAATGGGCAGGCGAGGAGTTGCCTGTGGCCAGATGTCTTCAGCAGGACTTTGCGCTGGGCATCCAGCACGTTGGCAGCGATGGGCGGAGCAGGATCGCTGAGAAGAACATCTTGCTCACTCTCACTGTGTTCGCCCGCTGTATTGTGTGTTTCACTCTCACTGACTTCGCCAAGTGGGGCTGAGTTTGCATGCTCACTGTGTTCGACAGGATGTGAAATGGCAGGGGGTGAAGCAGAGGGCGGAGAGGGATCGGAATGGGTTTGTTGTGTACCCGATGGATATGGCAGCACCATTTGAGCGGGTGTAGGTGATTGCACCAATGGCTCAGGCGTGGCACTGCCGTTTGTGTCACCGTCACCATCATGCGCGGGAGGGGCGATAGGGGTGGGCGCGCGGAGTGCGGTGGAGCGAGGAGGGGAGTCGCTTTCGTCCGAAGACATGGTCAAAAAATCCGATGGTGTGTTAGGAATCGAATGATGTGTCTGCCCTGTGGACTCGGGCGAGGGTTGTTGCTCCCCGCTGCCATTTGGCTCAGAGGGCACCGATGCTGACAAATCCTCGGTCACAGGGGCCGAAGATGTGGCAGTGGCGGCGGCAGGCATTGCCGCAGCAACTTGAGCAAAGGAGCGAGGGCTGGATGGCGTGCGAGGGGTGCGGGGAGAAGCATTGGAAGTGTTTCCGATGATGGGATGTTGCTCCCCACCGCCGTTTGACGTCCTGGTCACTGGCTCGGCCGCGGGCACGACGGCACGTGCCGAAGACTCGGTCGCACCGGCAGCGGGGGACGTCGAGGGCACATGAGACGAGGCATGAGCGGTAGAGGCAGAGTGGTGGGCGCGAGGGCGAAGCGGGGTGGTCACGGGGTCAGGGAAAACATGGTTACGGTCGTGGTGAGCGCTGCCATGTTTCGTGTGTTTTGCAGAACGATGAGTTTGGGAAGGCGAGGTGGTGGTGTTGCTTGGAGGTGATTCGGCACTCGGGCGCTTAGCACCGCGGACCTGGGTCCAAGAATCCTCGCCGCCGGACTCAGTGGCCATGTCCGCGGGGCAAGCAAGCGAGCAAGCGAGCGGACACGGTGGGAGCGAGGGCGCCGCCAAAACGCGGGCCGCAAAGAGCGGGGTTGCAGATTTTGTCTGACAACGTGGTTCACGCCAAGATGATTGACATTGATGTTGGCCAAGGCATTGTGCAGGGCAACGAGCTATCGCCCTTCTTCTTTGCCCTGTACTCCTGTGAGGTCCTCGGCCTCATCGACGCCACCACTGACTACCGCTGCAAGATCAACACCTAATTTATTTAGAGGAGATCATCAAATACCTCGACGACATTGTACTGATGGGTCCCGCGGAGGACGTGGCGGCCGACGTGGAGATTGTCAAGGCTCGTGCAGAGTCTGCTGGCCTTCATCTGCAGCCCAGTAAGAGCCGCTTCTACATGCCTCGCCACCATCCCGCTTCCATCACTGCTATCAAGTCTGTCTTGCCAGATGCCGTGCGCGAGACGGCCAACACGGGCATGACGGTCTTGGGAACACCGATTGGCCGTCGCGATTGGATGAAGAAGCAGCTGAACGACAAGGCAAAGCACATTGCTGGCAAGCTCAATGACATGCTGACGACCGGTGTCTCGCTTCAGGCCCTCCTCACGGCCATGCAGTACGTGCCTAGCCTTATCAACCACCTCTACACGCTGCCCCCATGTCTCACGTCGGGCTTGTCCGAGCTCCTGAACCGTGCTTGCAAGGACACCTTTGTCAAAGCCTTTTTTGCCAAGGTAAACCTGTCTGCACCAGCCGGAGGTGAAGGTCATGACGTTACGCTGGAACAGCTCCTGGAGGCTCGCCTCTTCACGCGGGCCAACACCGGGGGCTTTGGCCTGCACGACTTGGTTGAGCGCGGTCCGGTGGCTTATATCTGCAACATGGCCAAGCTGGCCACTCGCTACCCTCGGGTCTACGATCGACTTTTGGAGGATGCATCGAGGGCTGCCGACTTTGAGGCCCACGTGCAGCGAGCCGGCTTCCAGATGGCCACGGTCAAGGACGCGGCGACCCAGCGACCAGCGGAGATCATTGCCCTCCGCTCCAAGGCGGCACTTGACGACCTGATGGCCAAGTGCGCGCTGGACCTGCAGCAGGCATATCTGGCCTCACGCGAGTGGGGCGTCAGCACAGTCTTGATCATGCGGGGTCGGGACAAGTTGCGTCGCTTGAGCGACACGACCTTTGCTTGCGGTCGTGTCCATGATGGGTTTTGGCCTCCATGAACTCATCAACGTCAAGCCGACGGACAAGTGCCCGCTCTGCAGCAGCAAGACACCTCAGCCGCGACTAACCCGCGAGCACCTGCTGACCTGCCGTCCCATCAAGCGACACAACGCCCTTCGCGACGAGATGGGCCGCCTGCTCAGGTACGCCACCCTCTCCCATGTCTGGGTGGAAAAGTCTGGCTACAACGCCAACGGTCAGAGCTGCCGCATCGACCTGCACTGCCGCAACCCCTTTCCCGGCGGTGCACTGGGCCCAGCTCTGCCCGACCTGGGCATTGACGTGACTGTGCGCACAGCCCAACCCCCGACCACCTCGCAAGCCTGCATCAAGGTGGGCGCTGCCCTTCGCCGAGCCGAAAAGGAGAAGCGCGACTACTACACCGGTTTCAACCATGGAAAAACTCTGATCGTCCCTGCGGCGATGACGACGTAAATTAGGTGTTTGAACCTCAGAGCTGAAAGCAAAGCTGTGCAACCCCGACATCAAAATCACGACGGCACGCAAATCAACACAAGAGAACAAGACATTTTCATCGGCTTCTATCATGCCGAAAAGTACAAGCGCGAAGAATCACGCACAAGGAAACAAAAATCATGAAAAACGACTAAGTATAACTAGAGATACGGCCATTTTAACCACTAGACACATAAAAAGGCAGTCACACATCACAACTACTGTTAGCGTCAAATCCGTGCTTCCACGCATTTGAACACTCCCACTGCTTTCGCACACACTCAGCATCGGTCGCTATGGGTCTTCCTATTGGTATTCCATAGCTACGACGACCTCACACATTGACACCTACTTTTGGACCCCCTGGGCTTGATCCTCCTCGTGGCAGTCACATGAGTAAACACCGCGTGTGACGCGGTCCCCACGATGCCTGGGCAGCTGCCCTGGGGCAATAAGCTTGTGGCTACTGTTGTTTCCCTTTGTTGTGACACCTGCGGTCGGGCACGAGTTGCACTTTCCCTATCCTCGGGATTGAGCGACTCTACAGCTATTCTAACGGTGCACCTGGTCTGGTCACTGTGAATGCTTGCCGACCGCAGCTGGTTCAATTGACCTCAAGACACCACCAAAGCTTTCGCTCCGCTCCGACGGACGTCTCTCAAACCTCTCTCAAAACGCTTCCTCAAACCTACGCGCTTCCTCGCAACCCAAAGACGGCCTCCAGACGTGCTGGAGCCTGACATGGTAGCGATTGAAAACTTCGATCGACCGACCGCCCTTCTTCAATCTTTGCGCTGGATAGCATGTCCTCGCGCACCCGTTCGCGAACTGGGCCCCCTGGCCAAGGAACCCACGAGCTTAACTTGGAGTCGGACACGGAACCTGACACAGACCCTGTCGCG